AAAACACCAAAGTTCCCCCCCCCCCCTTCCCCCATGTCCTGAACATACAATGAATCAGAAAGTCAGGGGAGCACAGCTAGGATTGGGTGGAGAGTGGCTTTGTAGGTGAGGCAAACATGTAGGCATTGTAGTAGAGCTAACGCAGACACGAAATTCTGAAAATACAACTGGTGCACAGACAAAGAGAACAGATATAGGGACACACATCGAGTCAGGTAGGGGTGGGTGGTGGAGTTACGCAGCTCAGTGCGTTACTCCGAACAAGCCAAGGTTCAGATCTACACTTCTCTTCTTCTGCTATAGAAAATACAATATGTATATTATATATAATATGTATGCATTTCAATAATTTTCAGGGGAAGGGGGAGGAAACAGCCAATGTGTAGAGAATGAAAAATGAACACAAACAATAAATGTACAGGGGCAATGAAATGAATATCAACAGTACCTGCCCAGAAAAAAGCAACAAAACCCCCAGAATACAAACATAAACTGCTGAAATATTCATATATTTACACACTGTAATATGTGAGACACAGGTAACTGCTGAAACACTGACAGTATTTATAATGATCAAACAGCAGAAAAATACCTCTCCTCACCACCCTTTGCCCAAATGTGGGCTGTTCTTAGTGTTGGATAAGAAAGAAAAAAAGCTTCAAAAGAGATAAGAAACAGTTTCTTTCACTTGTACATCTATGTGAGGATGCATGCATACAAACATTTATTCAAAAGCAATATATATGTTAATGTGAGAGTATGGTCGGCTACATGACTTTTCAAACGCCTATAGTGGTTTAGCGTGATCAAGTCTTTTTTTTCTTCTATGTAATTTTTATAATAAGAGGACTTGAAGCAATGCGAAACTGAAAATATAATGACAAACCTATTGTCTTTTAAAAAAATATTGCGTGCATTCCAATCTCTACAGCCGTAAAAAGAGAACATTTTTCATGGAATTGGAACAAGAATTGTGCACTGTGACTACCAGTATGTGATGAATACAATAAAAAAGGAATGAGAGAAAACATTGAAGGCTTCTCTGTCAGCTCTTCTTTGCTTAAAATTACCAAAATGTGCTTTCTCACCTTAGCAGCATTGGTGCCAAAACTTCTTGAGGGTGACAACTTAGTTATGTCTCGCTGTGCACATGTGATTATTCACTTTATGATCACTTAATTTAGATTTTCCACTCCAAAAAAAAATCATATTTTCCAATCACCCCGTACAATGGAAAGAAAAGTTTTATTCAGCAACTTTTGACATTATGAGAAAAGAACTTTCTTTATTTTTTTTGGTTTGATTTTATGATAAATGTATTGCATATCGATGCCATTCTCTATTGATATGCACTGGCCTATGCACTGGCCTACTAAACAGACATGCTTATTCCTGACTAAAGTTTGACAGCTTAAAAAAGATTATGGAAACATAACTGAGAATCTGGAATCATAAGGGAAATTGGAATGGTGGAGAGTGGAGTGTACATAGGGATAAGAAAAACAAACGTGGGGTAAAAGATATTATTTCTAGAAAACAATCTCACTCGTAACAAAACAAGATCATAGAAAAAGAAGCTTGGAAAAACATGAGACTGTCCTGGCAAGCCCAAGAACTATAATTTAGTGATACAATTCAGTGTCAGATCTTTCATATATATCCAAACTTTGCAGAGGTTTTGCTCTAACAGTGAAATTGTAACTGCATTATCCCTAAATTATGACCCTGGAATCTTTTAATATCCTTCACTGTTACTTGAGGCCAGTCAAAAGAAAAAGAAATGTTCCCAGCCTACCAAAAGAGGATAATAAGTCTCCTGTAAAAATCTGACTTGCCATAGATGTGACAAGTTTTTTGTTGGCTTCTACTCAACAATAGCAAATATTTTCTGTTGTTGCATCTGTTACTGTTACCGTACCTCTCTGCAGTCAAGCATCAGCTTGCCAATTGAATGAAGTGTATGAACTTCCAATAAGAAAGGAATCAAACTATTTCCTTATATAATACAGTAAAAAAAAGTGGCAACGGGCCATTTGAGATGGAATTGCACAAGAGCTTCCAGACTCACTAGAGAAGTCAAGAAAGGAAGATGACTAAAACAGGAAATTGTAACTTTAAGCCTTTAAATATATTTGAGTTTGAAAGAAGAAGAGCAAGAACAATGCCTTATATGATACTCATGTCTTTAAAATGCACAAAATTTTGGGTATCCTTTTTCTTTTCATATGATGCAGTGGCGATGGATTGACAACAAAGAAAGAAAGAGGTGTATTCAATAAATATTCAAGCACAAGAACCCGTATTATGTTACCTGAAACACTACTCACTGAAGCAAATAGTTGACAATATTAGAAAAAGCACTTGCAGACATTAGTCATATTTTATTCATTAAAGTGTGGTTTAGGGGTGAGAAAGAAAACTTTCTTTCTCTCTTCCTTTTCCTTCCACCTCTCATTCCTCCTACTTTCTGGATTAATATTTACCTATCAATCCTTCTCCTAGTCTAAAAGCACAGAAATTTCGACATTTGAAAACAACTTATATGTTGTCTCGTACAAAAATGAACGTAGCAAACAAGTGCATTGGCTCTTTCCAATTATCAAATCCTCCCACCCCCACTTAGCCACTGTCAAAAACATTAAAAAGCAAGCTGTGATCCAAGCCACAGGCTTTCTGAATGGATACAGCAAAGTGGGTTCTTTTTTTTTCTTTTTTTTCTTTGCTTGTTTGAAGCTATCATATTGGCACAGTGTTAACTGAGATAATGTTATAAGTTATAAACAGAACTATGTGCATTCTGAGATCATCACACAGATATTGATATTTTTTAAATTATCACCACTAATATCACAAGAAATACTTTTAACCCTGTAATAAAGTCACAGTTATCAAAGGAACAATGGCCAGAGTGTGCAAAAAGGTTGAATATGGAAATGAAAACGAATCCCTGGATCATTATTAAAGGTGATACAAAAGCACACACAAAAATCTTACACAGAAGTGGTGAATATGGGGCCTTTATCAATGGGAAATTTTTACCCATTCCTGCTGACCTAATGTACATGTCATAATTCATCATTATCACAAACTAGTGTTTAATAACAGGGAACTTGCTTCAATCACATGGTATCTCCATCTTGCACCTAAGCATTAGTGTACAAAGCTTTCATATAGTATGTGTATTATATACTTAATATTTATAATAAGAGTCAGAAATCACATCTACACACTTGCACTCTCTCACCCACGAAGCAGTTGCGTGCTCCTCAAAAAGCTAAACAATAATATCCATGTAAATACATTCAGATTATATGTATAATATTATATATAATTGCCAAGGAGAGGTAATTGTGTGTGTATGAAAAGAGATTGTAGTTGTTGATAGGTATTATGCGTCCACTTAAAATAATAATTTAAAAGGCTGTACTTTATCATCTGCTATACCATTCAGTTTGTATGGACAAAGCAGACAATGGCTGTAGTGACTGTCACACAACAATACTGTTGTGCTATCCATCCCCTTGAAGTGAGTTCACAGTTGACAGAGTGGTGATGTGATGATTATACGAATGTCACGTAAATGCCCAATTAATTAGTAGAGAATAACAGTAAAACAATGCAAGGGCTATCTACAATAAGTAGCAAACAATAAACAAGAATTGCATCCTTGATAAAGTCATAATATGTATCACCACAACAGTAGCTCAGAGGTCAAAGTTCAAACTCAGCCACCGAAACAGAAGCAGAAGAAGAAGATCACACGGCAGGAATATTCACATTGTGGAAATCCGGATCGATGAAACAAACGGAATAAATTATTGGAAAGACATAACGATGTAAGTACTTCTTCGTAAGGTAAAACAAACGGCATAAATGGATGGGTTGCATCGTGAAGTGTCAAGCTAACATACAAACACACATAAACATTTTTTCGAACATGCATGCTTGCTTGAACATGCATAGAAGTGCATGCACACTTATGCCTCACCAAATCTCAATTAGGCAGTAGGACGCACATCATAATGCACAGGTAGAGAAGAATCTTGACCACCCTAGTTCTGTTTCAGGTGTTATGTTTCTCGTGCCAAGAATTATTGATATATGAAACTACTATTTTTCTCTGTTTCAATAAATCAGTCATTCAATGGCACACACACACACACACAAATGCTCCGAGCAATAACAGATGAAGCAATCTCAGTCAAAAATGAGCATACAATTATGAAACAATATTATCTAAGTCACTAGCCTTTACCACCAAAGACACTGAAATCAGAGAAAGAGTTCTACATACATGAAAGTCGGCCATAAATTTCATAAATTGACACAGAGCTGTTTTCACTATTCAAGCAACTCACTGAATCAGTGCCACATCTTAAAGCTCAACAGCCAAAAAGCAGTATTCAGTATTCAAAGACTGTGCATTTATTCCAGCAACCCCTACTCTCCCCTACGGATGGGAAAAACCCCCCAAAACTCATAGCTCCAATACCTAATTTGCTTGAGAAACACAATGTTGAAGAGAAGAGACCAAACATGATTTTTTTTTCTCTTTGTGTTCCCCTTTTCATAAAATCGACTACATTCTTGTGCGTAGATTGTTCTTCGACAATGTCTAAATGCACTGTGTTCATTCTAACAGGGAAGTAGAATCCATGAACCTTGAGTGGTTGCTACATTTTTGTTTGACCATGTCTTTTGACTGCTCTTATTTCATACTCTTTCCCAGCAACTGATCTAGCACTTGTCTGTCTTTCACTAACGTGCCCATTTTGAGATTAAAAAGAAAGAGAGATTAAAAAAAGAGACGTAAAAGGCTATCAGTTATATAATGCAATTCTACAAATATGTCGCAATATTTAAAAAAACCTCTTGCACCTCTCACCAGTCAGCTGCATTTCCTTATTGGGCACCACAAAATACAAAGGCATTGCGTGTTGTACTTAGCAAAGGAGATAATTACTGACCTGCATTTATAATGGCTCAGTCTTAGCCTCTGCACTTGTTCAGTCAAGGCAAAGTTTTACGTAAGGGATTGAGAAAGCAAAAATATTAGAACCTACGCCACTGCAAGCTTGTTGTGCCAAGACATCGCTCTTACGCCACCACCCCACTGTCAGGCCCCAGCTCCACAGTTTTGGGATCTGCATCTGTCTCATTGACAATGACAATGCCGCTATCCTGCAGACGTTGCTCCTCATCCTCTGTCTCTTTCGGCTTGTCTTGAGCTTGCTGGGAGCTGTCATCGTTACTATCCTTGGATGGACTGTCCTTCCCATCCCTCTTTGACCCATCCCTGTCCTTGGTTTTCTCACCATTCTCAGCCCCATGCCGACGTCCACCTCGAGTGCCGTTCATTCCTCCACCTCGGCCATCACCACCATTATCGTCATCGTTATCATCATCACTTTTTGAACTACGTGTGTCCTCATCTTTGCCACTGCTCCCTGTTCCATCTCCGAAGGTTATTCCTTTGAAATTCCTGTACGCCTTTTGGATGATCCTGGCTGCATAATGCTCCTTCTGCCGCCTTAGAGTACTACTGATGGGCTTATACTCCTCTTTCTCCTTGTCAGTTTCCTTTTGTGGGATATCTGACGTCTCTCCAGTGCCGAGGAAATTCTTGGTCAAAGCATCCAGTATATCCCGGCAGTAGCAACGATCGTTTTCACAGATAGGTATATCCAACTTGACCAGAATGAAATGATTGGGCTTGGGTAGCCTCAAGGGCTCCTCTAAGTAATCCACAAAGTCGGAGAGCTGATCCAGGGGAATGTACTTGCTGGCTTTTGGATCATATTTCTCCCACTTCTCATAGTACATGTCGAAGTCGTCGGGCGTCAGTCCCTGCTGTTCATCCTCTGTGGCCTGACTGAAGTTCTCCAAGATGACTGCGATGTACATGTTGACCACAACAAGGAAGGAGACTACAAGGTAAGTAGCCAGGTAGATGGTCGCTACGTTGTAGTCTTTGCAAGTACCCTCTGGTGCGCATCTGGCTATCAAACCATTCAACACATCACTCCATCCCGCACTGGTGCACATTTGAAACAAGAGGATGAAACTACGCAAGAATGTGTCAAAGTTGAACGCGTCGTCTAGACCGTACTTCTGCTCGGCACCCATGAAGAAGTTCATGCCCATGATGGCATAAATGAACATGATGAGGCCTAGCAGAAGCCCGATGTTGAACAAGGCGGGAAGGGACACGGCCATCGAGAACAGCAATGTGCGTATGCCTTTAGCAGACTTGACCAATCGCAGCACACGACCCACGCGGAACACTCGGATGACCCTGAGCAAAGTTGGCGAGATGAAGAAGCTGTCCTCAAACTCAGACAAGGAGGAAGCTGGAGAGAAAAAAAAGTAAAGATTCTTGTTCAGTTTATTATTGGGAAAAATACAGTTTTAGTCTAATTTCAAATCCAAAATGGACACAAATTTGGGTTATTTTGATGGAAGAGTACTTGATTCTCCATCAGGACCCTCAATTGATGAGTAACGTTATTAACACATTCTAGGGCATGAAAAAATTAGGACCCTGCTTGGATTCTAATGCTAAACCATTGCATACATTTTAGGGATGGGGGGAGAGAGTGAGTGCTGTGTTAAACCACAGTGATTTTACTGAGACAATAGAAGCTTGTTGGGTTTAAGTAATATGTGAGTTTGACCTTCAAGGCTGAATATTTCTTTCATGCCTGAGCTAATTTTTTATAATGACCGAAAATGTTGGTTTCAGTCAGAGCTTGGGTCTTCTTTACCTGGATCGTAACGCACAGATGTCATTTTTTTAAAGAACAGGTTTGGTTTTTTTTGCCTCTGATGCATTGAGACTTAGATTTTAATTAGAAAAAGAAAAGAGAGAGAGAAAAGGAGAGAGAATTAGAGAGAAAGAGAGAAAGAGAGAGAGAGAGAGAGAGAGAGAGAGAGAGAGAGAGAGAGAGAGAGAGAGAGAGAGAGAGAGAGAGAGAGAGAGGGGGGGCGCAGATTGGGAGATACCTTTAAAGAGGAAGATAAGGTACCAGTGATAACAGAAAGAAGTCAAGACTAATAAAAGTCCAGTCAAATCACTGAAAACTTCAGTAAGGCAATATAAACAAAGGTATTTACCTAAAATAGACAAGACCACAACAACAAAGTCGAAGACGTTCCATGGAATCTTGAAGTAGTACCACCGCAGCCCTATCAGCTTGAGAACGCATTCGGCGGTAAAGATGGTGATGAAGATGAGATTGAAGATACCCAGGATGTTCTTCATCTGAGCCGACATGCCATGGTGCTCAAACATCATGGTCAACATGTTGAGGATGATGATGACCATGATGGCAATGTCAAACTTCTGGTCAGTCGTGATGTCGAAGATGAGCCCTGCCAGCTTATACTGAAACATGAAAAATAAATAAAGTTAAACAAATAACATTTTAACAACTACAATAAGTGATTAACTGGTTAACAAGGGGTGTTTGATGTTCTGATACTGAATTGCGAGTCGCATGAAAATGTAAGTGGCGTGGAAAGAAAAAAAGCTCATGCGCTATGACGTTAACACAGATCTAAGAAATGCTATCCTCAAGGAAATGTCCTGGAATGACTAAGAGGAGAACAAAAAATCAATTGTATAGACCTGATGAAATAAAGGTAAAAATTAAGTCATCAGATATTGACAATGAATGAGAAAAAAATGAAAAATATAAAGCTTTTAAACAATGTAAATATATATATATATGATAATTAAGGAGACAGAGGTTGCGTTGAACTTTGAGATAAATCCAAATACATGACACTACTAGCAATAAAAACATTACACACGTTGGTAGATATTTTTAAAGATTTGTTTCTGGGACAATTAGCTCTTCAGACAAAATAGGGACAACAGACAGAAAAAATAAGACTAGGTTTGGTAAAAAACAAGACCTTATCAAGCCTCAAACCAAATAGCACAAGTACACACAGTACAGAGAAGAAAAAAAAATGTGTAAAATTTAGTAGCAGCATCTTCCAGTTGCCAAAACAAAACATTATTCGTCTCTTTAACCATAAGAACCACTATTACGTTAAAAGAAATATCACCTTCCAAACACCCCTTTTGCTTTCAGTAGGCCTTCTTTTATTTTAAAAAATGAAATATGAGGAGGAAGTTCTTTTGCTTGATGAGGATTTTTTTTTTCTTAAAACCAGAAGACAACACAGTCTTTCACTATAGGCTACCATAGGACATGTGACTAAAGAAGGCGCCAAAACATCCAGTAGCTTACAGCCATATTTGGAAGGGAATGGATACTTTAAACAGAGGAAGTCTGAGAAAACCACCTAAGCTTGGAAAGAACAATAAAACTACAGTAGTGCTTGCATAATATCATTGTTAGGTAGTAAAGATATTGTTTTTTAAAATATTTTTTTGTCTGAGAAATCCATCATTGCTTTAAAGAAAGAGAAATAGTAGGTCTACCGCATATAGGCCTATAGATAGATAGATAGACAGGAAAGAAGACAGATAGACTGTAAAACAGCATATTAATCCATAAATATAGATAAACAGATTGAGAGATACAAAGGCAGATAAACAGATAGATCAATAGAATATAAGAGACTATGCGAGTTGAGAGTGTCCAAAATTATTCTATGCTCGAGTTAGTGTCTGTTGGATTAGTTTGCGCTACTATTGTTTTGTTTTTTTCCATCAGCTCACAAATCAACAAATGTGCAAAAATAATGAATACCCAGTTTAAAAAATGCATACTTCATGACATGGATTCCTGAAACAGTGTACTTACATCAGTAAGCTCATAGTTTAAGATACTGGAACACAAATGAATATAGGCTAGTACCAAATCGTAAAACACACAGGCGAACAAATGAATTAACAAAAGTAAAAAGAAAACAGAAAAACTCTCAAGGTATGGATTAACAGGAACCTGAAATATTACATTGAGAAAAGAACAAAGTCTGTCGGGGGGAGGAGAAACAGAGGACAAAGTACACTCACAGAAACCTTGTGGCAAGCAAATGAGGGCAATAAAGCTTAGCATAGGCATCAGTATGAGACGCATCTGATTAAAATGTGCCGTAGAGATTTAACATGGGTATCTGTCTCAGTATACTCTTTCATTGTCTAGCTTATCAGATTCTGGATAGATAACAACTTAACTTATCAGAGCATTTCTAATATGGTACACTCATTACGGCATGAGTCGATGATCATAAGCAGGCTTTGGTAATTTAAAAGAAACTACAGCATCTGTCCCAAATATATATTTTGTTATTTTGTACTTCACTTGATACTGTGAAAATTACCCTCAATTGAAAAAAAAACATTTGTCCTTTTCATAAAAGTGAAAGGAATCAATCCATATTTATGAGAATATTTTATACTGATAAAGCCGAAATAGTTTGTGAAGTAATTATAAGAGCAGAGTTGTTAGATGTCACAAACTCAAAGACCCACTATTCAACTTATTTCTGTCATGCTAACTTATCGGTTCAGAAATACATGTTTTAAAATGATATGTAAGTTTTATGTGTGCATTTTTTAAATCTTAAAATAAAAAAAATCACTTTTCCATCTAATGTGGAAAAAAAAACACAAAAAGGAAAAGAAATATACCGTACACATTGTAATGATTTGGTAACTAGAGTTTTCTTTCACTTGTAGTAAAACCTATCAACTGCTTCGTGTGGGTCTCCGCTAAACACCATCTTGAAAAGTGACTATAGTACTGGTCTTTCACTTTAAAATGTTTAAAGTCAAATTGAAAATATGAGAAAAAAAAACACTTTTGGAATAGACTGAAATAAAGCCTTCGGAAAATGGATCAGATGCGTCAGGATATAAAAAAATTAAAGTGGTGGATGGAGGAATGGGAAAAGATGCTTTGGGAATGATGATAAAACAGCCGACACACAGGGCCATTTGGTAAGATTTACTGAAAAAAAATGAACAGTAAACAGAATGATATAATAATAATATTAAAGTCACCAAATATTTCAAAATTTTTGTTTAACAATTAGTCTTAACCATATCACAGAGGTTAATTTCATGCTTGAACTGCTTTATATCTTTTTCTGACATGCCTATCGCTCTTTTTAGAAGGTGGAGGACGAGACGTTGAAAGTCTATAAATAATTGTTTGCATATTGTTTTATTCTCTGGGTTGATCCAGAGATTTAAGCTTATAGCCTACATGATGGAGGTAATGTTATTGGTTTGTGAAGAGATTAGTAAAAAAAATCATTAAGTTCTTTTTCTCTCCTTGTTGAGTGAAGAAATATGAGCCAGTATTTAATAATAACAAACTCTTTAAAACTAAATAACATTGCTTGTAAATCAATCAAAATATCTTAAATGATATAGCATATACATAATATAGTAAATGTATCCTGACTCTTTATTTATCTCATTCATAATATGACTTCAATTTAGTTCCAAAGAAAAAATATTTTTTAAAAGAAGTGTGCGCTCGTTATATTTCAAAGTGTATATATGTCATCAGGAGGAAAGGAAATAGTAGCAATTCTTAAGATGGGGAAATTTGTGAAAGAGCAAACTTGGGTAAAAAGGGGCAGAAACTCAAGGTCTGTTTGTGAGAGCCATAAGGGAAGAACCACAACATTGTCTACTCCTTGAGGGTTTCAGGAGAGTTTCGGTGAAACAGCAGACAATGAGAATATGGAAAAGGCAGAAGAATTATCACACCATCCCCCACACCCCACCCTCTCCAAAACATCCAATCTATTTGCGCTTTTATGTGTATACTCCTCACTTTGAAAACTCTTCCAAGAAAAATTTAATATCGAATAATCACAGTACGATCAGTCAAATCACTCTATTTCACCAAATTCAAATGATCAGACTACTCAATAACATATTATATAGCCTGGTTGTTTTTGTTTTTTTAAATGATTAAATGTAAAAGCGTCTACCTCAAAAGATAGAAGGCGATTTGAAAATAAATAACGAAGGTTACTTGATGTACCAGACAAGAATTGTCTGCTCGCTCTAGTGGAGTGTCCACAGGATATGTTCTGCATTGAAGCTTTATTATTCAATAAGGACATCTTTCCGGGGGTTTTTCACATAAGCTACAGGTTTTAGACACATCAATTTTTTCACAAGAGGAATTTTGATATTGATGGAAGATTTTACAGCAAGGTTGATGGATTTTCTTTTCATTAAATTTCATATGAATTCATTACTGAAGATTTTTTTTTTCAAGGGTTAAAGCAAAATATTTTGGACTTGCCAGTTGTTTTCCAAAAGAAAAATGAAATTTTGGAAACACTCTCTTTCACTGAGGCTTCTTAAAAACATTTTGGATTGAAAGGGACACACAAACTTAGTGGGTGGTACAGTGAGGAAGCTGGGGATGGGAAATATCTAAGGAAAGTCTGTGTCTAGGGTTTGGGTAAACACGTCAGACACTTGCTGTCTCAATCAGTGTATTAGTTTGCTTGCAAAGGGGAACAACTGATGGCCAGTTGCTATTATGCCTTTTTTCCAAATTACCTTCTCAGCATCCTAAAAGAAAAAAAGGAGAAACAAGCAAGAAATATTTACACATATCACTGAAAAAAAATAACAGCTACGTAACATTTCACAATCGTTTGATCTTTCTATTATGAAAAGACAGTGAGAAAACGTTACGCATTGAGTACAAAAGTAAATTAGCATAGCATGGCACTATATAGCAGCATGCAAAAATGAATTTTGAAGAGAAAACTTTCACTTTCATATTGTATACACCTGTCCTAGCAATCAAGACAGCATATTGGTGACTTTCTGATAACTATGTACAGCTTGGCCATGCCTACATCTTGAGGTGAGAGGAAAACATAGAAAGCATCACACGTGTTTCTGACAGAGCAACATAGTCTACACGGACTAGGCTAGGCTAGGCTAGGCTAGGCTAGGCTAGCTAAAGCATTTTGCATAGCAACACCGAATATTCCAACACACAAGCATACAAAGAATGTACGTCGAAAATATGGAGACCAGGAACGGAATAGCCTACCTGACCATATACATTGCAAAGTTAAACTTTGTTGTTTGTTATATGTTTTATTACATGGGAAATAATGAATTCTGTCTACGAAAATGATTCCTCAACCACAGGAACATCAGCAGAGGTAACTTTTCTTTACTGTAAGAATCCGTATTAATTTGTGTATAAAATGTTCTCATTCACAACAAATTTTTTCACAGTTCTTTTGTTTCTCCGTAGGCTGCACTATACTTTCTGAACAGACTTGTTAAAAATAGCTATTTTTTCCAATTAATGAACATTTTGCAGTCACACAGCCAGCGGTACAAAATACTCCATCTGGTCACCCAGCCAGGAGAGCGACTTTTCAGGCCTGACACAGTGTGATCAGAATGGTTTATTTTAACCGGCGCATTATTGCGCCAAGTGACCGCAGCAAAGTGTTAAGTAGCCTCAAGTTTGCTCATTTCCTTTAAATTGTTCCCTCTCACTTTTGCCTTTCTTCACTCCATTCCCATTCCCCTTCCAAACCATCAATTCATTTTCTCTCTCTTTCACTGTCCTCATTTTATAGCTTTTAATTACAAACTTTTACAATTGGTCAAATCAGTCACCAATAGCATGATTCTATCATATTTGTGCGGATAGTCCTACAGTTTTTATTCTTTTTATTTGAAATCAAATAAGCGCTTTATACTGTCAAAATGTTCTTCCTTCTTACACAGAAAGACACATATATGAAAACACTATCACAGACACACTATGTACTTCACTGTCACAGAGCTAAAGGAGCACATATCATGAGAAATGACCTGTCCGACCAACTCAGGAACATACACAAGAAATCTTTCTAGAAATATTCGGCTTGCAGAACTCACCTTGGGCCTAGGTATAGACTTTTGTGGTGACTTGGACTGCATTCGTTTCATGGCATTGTAATACTTCTTCTGGTCTTCTGTCATGAACATCTCCAAAGATCCTCCAGCCTAAAAGAAGCCAATTATGGGAGAGATGAAAATAAGGAGAGGCTAAATAAAACAAACAAAAAATGAATAAATAAATGAAATATTCGATCACTTAAAATAAGTAATAAAAATAAACACAAATTATTGAAAAATAAGCAGCCCAAAAATACAAAAATTCAAATGAAAAAGGCAACTAGGAAATCCCATAAATAAGAAACAAGCAAAAAACAAACCCCAAATACTCCAAAACACAGCATAGCCAATTGTAAAAATGTTTTTAAAAAATAAAAAAAAGTTACAAAAGAACATGAATTAAAACGGATAGAGACTGACTGACAAAAATCACAAGAGCCCAGGAGACTCCTACAAAAACTCCTACAAAATGACAAACTTTCACAGATTCAACAACTTTGAAACACAACATGCTATCTAGACATAGTTTTCCTGCAATTAAGAAGAGTAGACATAAAATTTCTTTTCAATAAATTTGATCTGCACTAAAATTGAATCAGCCATGAGTGTACACCGACGATGGGAACCTGCAAGAACAAACTTTGACCATGATACCAGACTTAACTCTTTCACTACCAGGGGTTTTTCCTCACCTGGACCGGGCCCTATCTGTGACCTACTTTTTGATTCTTCCTACCCTCAGACAAATTAAAGATTTGGCAGTGTTGGACAGAGACCTCGGTGGACAGGTTAAAAATATAGAAAAAAATGAAAGGCTGTCACAGAACAGTGGCCGTTATTACAAGTAACTACTATAAAAGGGGATCTTTAAGACTGATTTGACTGTAGGCCTACTTATTTGTCCCCATCGCTTGTACTCTATATCAACAACAACAACAACAACAAATAAACAAAAAGATAGAAGCTTACCTTCTTTTTCTGTGAGTTGAAATTCTCAATAATGACACCAATGAAGAGGTTGAGAGTGAAGAAAGAGCAAAAGACAATGAAAAGGACGAAGAACAGGTACATGATAACATTCTCTTCTCGCGACGGTTGCTGGCCGATCTGAAGCAAAGACAAAGTAGAGAGCATCATTAATGACTCGTTAGATATTATATTATATTACAAAGATGTATGTGCTGCAAGATGACAGAATGAATCCCATGCTGCAATATAACACTATGAGTATCAATGAAAGATTTGTCCGAGTTCTACAAATGGGTGAAAACATTATTCATCTTGTTGCTTTTATTCCAAAATTATATCCTTTGAAATTACAAAATTACAAAACATAGTTCAGAGGAAATCCAGGCTTTGCACAATATTTCAAAACAGTTCAGAGCAGCAAATGATCATTTTATCATGTTGCTATATAAATATAATATCTAAAAGTATACATGTGTGTCAGCCCAAAACCTGTAACACTAAGGAAACTTATTGATGAGTCTAATCTGCTGAATCCTTTATTAAAAGAAAAGCATTAGTTGGTGATTCCTACCATGATTTACTGAATATTTTTCAAAACACTTCTAGTACCGTCAGCAACTGTAGTTGCCAGGCCGTAGTATGTGCTCATTACTGCTGGCGACTTAAGTAGCTGATTTGACCAGGCACACTAAACATAAACAACGAACAGAGCCATTGCACTGAAGTAAATAGCTGAATGTTTGATGAACCTCTGTGAATTTTTAAAGTGGGTTTCTTGGGCCTCGAAGGTTTTTTGATTTAAAAAAAAAATTATATCTTGACTCCAGTGTTCTAAACTGGTGTGGTACCTGACAGCTTCAAATATAAGAGCCTTTATGCCTGTAAGTGCTAAAGGGTGTAGTGAAATGATTTCTAGGAAGGCAACTTCAAAGTTTAATTATTACATTTTTATATATATACAAATATGCAATTCAATGTTCTGGTATGAATTAGAGAGAGTATGTATATATATATAAGTATTTCTGGAGCATTTGAACTGGATTTTTGTATATGTGCCTGTCAAAACTCATTGCTTCTTAAAAAATGTACACTTTAATCTGTATCTGTCCACAATCAAGTAGTATCTTTATCTTTTCCCCTCGTGTGTTCTGTAAATCTCTCTCTCTCTCTCTCTCTCTCTCTCTCTCTCTCTCTCTCTCTCTCTCTCTCTCTCTCTCTCTCTCTCTCTCTCTCTCTCTCTCTCTCTCTCTCTCTGTGTGTGCTTGTCTGTCTTTCTCACTTTTGCATTATGAAAATGTCGTGTGTGTGTGTGTGTGTGTGTGTGTGTGTGCGTGTTTGTGTTTGTGTGTGTGTGTGTGTGACAGACAGAGAGAAAGAGAGAGAGAGAGAGAGAGAGAGAAAGAAAGAAAGAAAGGGAGAGAGAGAAAGAAAGGGATAGAGATAAAGAAAGAGAAAAGGGATAGAGAGGTGAAACTTATGAAAGCATGTGTGTGAATGTGCAGGTGTGCCAGTGTACTAACAAAACCCCAAATTTTTTTTTAACGGAGTTCGTACAAGAACCCCCCCCCCTCAGGAGAAAAGCACAAAGAAAGAGGAGGGAGGGTTGGGGGGAGGGGAGAAGAGGGGAAGGGAGCTGCAAAGAACTGCTATTCAAAGACTAAAGGATAAAGATGCATCATATATCAGCATACAATACAAACATTCTTAATTCATTACTTAATTTAGAAAGTACACTATTCGGAAACTTACTTCTGTCGAATCTATTGCATTATTCATAATGTCAATCCAGCCCTTGTAAGTTGCCTGCAAGAGAAGCAGTTATTCATATCATATTTTAAAAAATCAGAAAGAGGGATAATAAATTTCATATAACCTTCATTCTGATCCACATCCTCCTAAAAATAAAAATCTTAGTTTTAAAACAGCTCAACAAAATTATAACTATAGATGGAAAGCAGAAGAAAAGTCGAACTTTTATTATATTTGAAGATTTCAGTAATAAATACACTAGCCTAGAAATAATTGACTGTACATGGGCTCAAAATTCCAATTAAGTGACTTTACACCTAAATATACAAAAACATCAAATTTACCTCAACTTCACCATTTTATTTTTGTTCCTTCCTTTTTAAACCATGATATAATGGTCTAAACCTGATTAACCAAAAGTTGACTAACATTTTAGAAACATTTTTAATAAAAATGATGACTTCTAAAGAAATTTATCAAGCAATAGAAGACTGAATAAAAAAAAAATCTTTCTATCCTTCATTCAGACTTCCCAAAATCTGCTATGCTACTTTGATTTTCAAATAAGATTTAGTAAAGGAAATAAAAAAGAAGCATTTTCCTCTAACGATTTCTGGGGCTGCCTATCGATATCCTTGTTTCTCCCTTGTATGTACACTCTGGGCAGCTGACAGTATTCAAACCCACCCCATACACATACCACTTGAAACAAAGCCAAATATGCGGAGAGCACATGATCAAAATTGATCTGGGCATTGGTCCAGTTGTATCCCTTGTCAATGCAGACTGTTTTGTTTGGGACCTGCCAGAAAAAAAGCACAAACCAAAAAAATCAGACATGATTATTAATAAGGGAGCACATTTTTAATAGTTTGTTAGGTTTGGTTTACTTGAGCCCTGTATTCCAAACGTACTTGGCCTTTGATTACAATGCACATCTTGGGTCTCCACACTTTGTGTGGCCACATGTAGGCTGCCATGATGTCATGTACGAAACATCCTTTAATGTATTCAAAGTATTTCTAAAGAATGTGGTGGTTGGGGGTGCTCAAATAAACTTTTACTGTTGGCAATTAACTTTATTATCTATACAACTGATATCGGCGTTATTATCATCATCATCCTGATCCTCATCACTGTCGTTGTCACAATGGTTGTTGTCATCATCTTTGTTTTCATTATTATGGTGAAAAGTTGAGAGAAAGGGAGTATTGTATAATCTTAATCACTTTATATTATTGTCATCATCATCATCACCATCATCACCATCTTCACCATCGCCATCATCATCATCATCATCATCATCATCATCATCATCATCATCATCATCATCATCATCATCATCATTATAAATAGCAAGGAATAAAAAGGGTTGGAGACTTGTAGAATTTTAAAATTTCATCATCATCATCATCATCATCATCATCATCATCATCATCATCATCATCATCATCATCATCACCATCTTCGGCATCACCATCATCATCATCTTCACCATCACCATCACGATCATCATCATCATCATCATTATTATCATCAGTAACAGCAGTAGCAGCAGAAGAAGAAGATAAAGAACAAGGACAAGACCAAGAACAAGAACAAGAACAAGAATAAGAAGTACAAGAAGTAGATTTTTGTTAATTCTTTCACATTCTTTGCTTTAGAATGACAGTACACACTGTAGCCTTTTATCTCTTCTGACCGAATACTCAGAGCACGTGGCAGAAATTTGACACAATTGAGGGTGGCTTCAGTTTCCTTTTTGGAGGGGCAAATATTTTCAAGTTTGCACTATTTAATCAAATCTTCCACAACCAAATGTGTTATTTTGAGGTACTGTTAACCACGATTTCATCAAAGTGGTGCTAATTGTGAAGAAGAATAAATAAAACAAATTTGATGACCTTGCAATATGTTATAGCCCCCTTAAGCAGCACCCTTTGGAAGTTACAACACACGATCTACAATTCAATGTTCTGGTATGAATTAGAGAGAGTATGTATATATATATATGTGTGTGTGTGTGTGTGTGTGTGTGTGTGTGTGTGTGTGTGTGTGTGTGTGTGTGTGTGTACCTACATATGTGTACGTGAATGCATGCGTGTGTTTTGATCGTATTCTTTGATCTGCCTGTTATTGCTCACGCAGCGGCCGGTTGGAGCGCATCCCTGGTAGGTCCAACTCCTTTACTGTCCCTGTATTGTTCTGTCTGTCCGTCTGTTTGTCTTACTTTTCATCACCATCATCATCATCATCATCATCATCATCATCATCATCATCATCATCATCATCATCGATGCCTTCCACTCCTGGCACGGTACAGGCCTCCTTCCATTTATCTATGTCCTGAGCCATCCGTTCAAGCCCATTCCAAGTGAGCTTTATCTCTCTCATGTCCCTTTCCACACATCTCCTCCATGTTTCCCCTGGCCTACCCCTGCCTCGTGCCACCTGTGGGTTCCCCTGCAACGACTGTCTTGTGATGTTTCCGCTGGGCTTTCCGAAGGTGTGTCCCATCCATCGCCACTTTCTTAGTCCTATTTCTATTTCTATATCCTTTTGACCTGTCCTTTTCCTCACCTCTTCATTCCTTATTCTATCTTGCCACTTAATTTTAAGGACATTCCTCATACATCTGTTGATGAAAGTCTGAACTTTATGCTGTACTGTCTTTGTTGTCTTCCAACTGTCGCAGCCGTCGAGGAACACAGACTTGACATTGGAGTAAAAGAGTCGAATCTTGGTGCGCGGTGAGATGTTGCTTGCTTTCCAGACTTTTGATAATTGATTGAAAGCTGACCTTGCCTTCGGGGTTCTTGCTTTTACACCTGCCTCAGTTCCACATTTATCATCCATGACACTTCCAAGGTAGGTAAAGCAGTCCGCTTCTTCCAGGGGAGTGTCTCCCCCTGTCACAGCAGGGCTTGAAACTTTTCCCATCTTCACTACAAGTACTTTCAATTTGCCCGGATGTTTGTTCTTAGAATTATTATTTTTAGATTTGATACAATCCATGGCAAAGTCTGTCTCTCTATCTATATATATATTATATCTCTCCCCCCCCCTTCTCTCTCTCTCTCTCTCTCTCTCTCTCTCTCTCTCTCTCTCTCTCTCTCTCTCTCCCTCCCTCTCTCTGTCTTTTACTTGACGACATACTTTATAATTCAATCGTCCCTTCTCTTCACACGCACACACATATGATCGCTGCTAAGCACAAGGGGGCTATCCCGAAAAATGCTGTTTTGAGAAAATCGAAGGCAAAGTTTTTGCCCCCTGTTCAGTTTCTTCAAAAGACAAGTAGAGTTTTTTTCTATAACCAAACAAATGTACACACCAATGAGACCAAACTTCTCCTACAGGTAGGGCAATGCCCACTTTTGGGGTAGGTCAAGATTTCTGGAAACCCCCGAAATCTTAGTTATCCCGCTTGTCCTTAAAAGCGACCATATATATGCACACACACACACACACACACACACACACATACACCCCCACCCCTCCACACACACGCACGCACGCACAAACACACCTCAAACCACACCCTTTCTGAATCTATTACTCCTTTTTAACCCCACCTTCACACTTTTTTCCATACATGCCCACACAAAAAAACACTTCTCAACC